GGATTCATCTAGCTCAGGAGAGAGATCAGTGGCGGACTCTTAGGCAAGAAACTTCCGGGTTACATAAACGGCGGGAAATTTTTGAGCAGCTGAGCGGACTACTTTACAAGGAGTTGGTTACTCGGTTCCGTTCTATACAGTAAGGCCTACAGCTCAAGGAACTGTGAATAAATATAGGATGTACGTCTATTCATGTTTATAAAATCATCGGATACGCCAAAATTTCAATATAGTAAACCTGTCTAAAGCGGAACCTGGATTGGACGAAGAGATGCCTCTACTGGAAAACCCATCTGGGTTTAAGAAACAGAGGGAACTATACATAACTCCAGATCTGGCAGCGGGTACTTAAAAGGAGATGGCGTGAGTGGTTGGAGCATGTGATAGACGGCAGAACAAATGGGGGAAAGTCCAGACTGAGACGGCTGGATGATGTAGTGAATGATTTACGAGAGCTTAAAATGAAGATATGGCAGCAAATGCAAATAACAGAGCGGAATGGAGAGAGAAAACAAAGGAGGCCATGGTTCTTACAAAGCCCTACAGCCGAAGAATGCATAAGGATCTAGCCCCACTACGGCACTAAAGTAGTAGAGCCAGAAGAGACGGCCGTTACCTGGCAACAGCTCGGTAAACACGTTCCCACTGCAACGAAAACACACGCAACAACAGAAGAACTATTGGACGCCGTGTATTTCATGCGGTCCAACTGTCTGACAATAACAATAATCCAGCCTTGGGCCCTAAATGGGGAATGAAATCAAGATAGACTGGCCGACTGACCGTTTGTCAGATTTTGTTTGCATTATAAAGATATTCGTCAGGCATAGTTTCAGTTAATATATTATTTTTTCGGGGCATTTCTGTTATAAATCGCACTGGCATTGCGGACAGTTTTCCGTACACAATATAAAAGTTCCCTAAAAAGTAGGATACCCCATTTGTCAGAATCACAGGATGGTCAAACACGCTACAGGATCGCAAGGAAAACATCACCACTCTTCCACACGATAAAAGAGTCACAAAATGGCAGAATTCTTTTCATTTCAGAGCGTACACAACTTCACTTAATTTGTATTCGTTCCACAAAGCGATTTTTCAGTACTATCTGGTGCAATATTCATTTTGTAGCACAACATGCAGTTCCCTCTAAACACGCGGTAAAAATAAAACTCCCGCCTTCCTCCTCCCTTTCCCTGTACGTCCCTGAAAGTGATTGGACATCCAGATCACATAGTTGCATCCGGCGACAAATGTACGCTTTAAATTATGGAGATGGTCCTAGAAACAGTGTCCCTGGGGCCACCAGCAGGTTGAGTGGTAGCTGAATGTTTCATTGGCAGTTGCTGTGCTACCCGGCACACGGCGAGTGCACCGAGCCCGCGTTTATATCAGACATTTCGCACAACGGGACGGGCGGCTCTCGGAGAGAATCTGTTCGGGTCGTGGCCGATATGAAGATGTGTCAGGCAACACAAGGAATGAAATAATTAGGAGAGAGGTTTTAGTAGGAAAAGCAACAAAGTTCAGACAGATGAAACACTACTGATATTGTATGGACATGTTGGTCGAATGGGAGACATTGTTAAACGCGGCAGGGATTTCAAAGAGGTCGAGCGGGGCGATGAATCTGGAATAAGGACATAAGAGAGAGCGAAAAGTGTCTGAGGAAGACGCAGAATATCATGAGGGAAAACTGGCGCTAGGAAAGCTTCAGGGGAGGAAACTCCGAAGAAAATGAATGGGAAATTGGGCCGGCATAGCTCAGTCAGTACAGTGACTAAGCTATGAGGTGAATAAAGGAATTGGGGATAATTTCCCGGAATGGAGAGAGATTCTTATTTTCTCTACAGCGTCCAAACCGGCTCTGGGATCCACCCACCCTCCTATCCAATGGGTAACGGGGGCTCTTTTCTTGGGAGTAGAGTGGATAGTCCCAGCCAAAAAATGAATTGGGAAGTAATTTTTAGAAAAATAAAGAGCAAAACCGTGAACTACCGCTCATAAAACTGATCACTTATAGCCATTTAGCGCAGAAGTTAAATTTGTCTGGAGCGCTACCTCTTTCAGCCATACGCCTTCATATTATGTTGCATAACTGAGCAAAGGGGAAAATGTCCAATAAATCCGATTACCAATCCATACACTCAACCACGTGACAATATATTTGAAACTCCCTCCGGGGTATGAATATAGGAAGAATACTGCAACTAGAAAGTAACATTTCTAATGATGACGTAGGGGCCTACGTCACTAACTGGCGCTGACGTACCCTCGTTCCCATAGCAGATGGAGTTTAAGTGGTAAACCGTGGTTAATTATATTAATACTGAACCAGCCCGTAAAAGGAGGAGGTGGTGATTATGGATAGCGGAACTAGAACTGCAAATTCGGCGATAACCAAAGTTAATTTAAAAAATTAGCTACGTGTTTCACAGTTCTCCATTTCGTGTGCATTATGAAGCATGATTTGTACGCTACGGGATGCTGAACTCTGTTTTAACGTGATGTTCCTCAAAAAAGCTGAGAAGCAGTCAGCCAGAACATAAAGACTTAGCTAGAAATCGACTGTGATAAATTTCGCATGGAAGCGCTGCACGAGTTACCATGGAAACAGCTTGCTTATTACTATAGAACATGTCCGAGAATGAGTGCACACATTTTAAACATTTTTACCGAGAAGATAAACAGAGCCAGAAGAGTGTGGTCTTCGTGCGCATGCGTCAATTTCAGGGAATTTGAACATTAACGGGACTAAAAGTCGACGTGCAGTAAAATGGAGAAATGTGGGTACGTGTTTTAGGTGGTGAAAACTGCACTCTCATAGCTCTATTTATTTTCTCAATAAAAATGTTTAAAATGTATGAACTCTTTCTCGAACACCCTGTATATACAGGAGGGGCTGGAGACCGCACGTCTTCCCTGCACTTACAGGGGCGGGTAACATAAAACAAGGCGAGAAATTTGTTACGGCAAACGGTATAATTAGACGGATTCTTCCCTACGCTCAGATCTCTACCACACGGATTGTCGGCTCTACCAAACAAGCTACTATAACTAACACGCCATGTTCGTACGGACACACCGCATGCCACAGGAATATCGGTGAAATGCATGGGTTTCGTTTCAGTCGAAACGTTGCTTCGGAAACTACGCTAGGAAACAGGCAGGTAAGTAAGTAGTTTCTTTGAGTGGGGTGAGAGCGAGTCAACTTGGTGCGTCGGCCACTAATTGGCCTACTGTACCAGCCCCGGATGATAGATGTGTGTAGAGCAGTCGGTAGAATTAGAATTGGCAGGGGAAACCGAAATACTCGGAGAAAAGCTATCCCAGCGCCACTTTTTCCACCACAAATCCACATGACCTGACTGGGCTAGAACCCGGGCAGCCGCGGTAGGAAGCCGGCGACTAACCGCCTGAACTATGGCACGGCCTAAATCAACCGAATTAATTGTTCTTTAATATTTTCCTTGTTCCCACTGATTCCCTGAATTCCTTACAATGGTCACGTTGCTAATGTACTTCTCATATTTCCTTTCTGGCCTATATTAGGCTGGGTTCAGTGTACGCGGTTCGCTCTGCTTGCCGCCTGCTCATTGTTTGCTTCTTGACCTAGTCTTCTACCCTGAAGTTGTCAGAAGAATCACCCTGTATAAGGTATTCTAGTAAAATAAAACTTATTAACATTAAGCATACTGAGATTTTCAGTAGAAAGGTATTCCCGTCTGCTTTATACTCGATAACATGACTGTTTCATAACGCTGAATGTTTACAAGTCTCAAGAGACGGCCAGGCATGGTTATATCCGCTAATGTCATAACGTAAAAAGTGATTTAAAACCGATATATCTCGTTTGAAACAGTGGAAGTGTTAAGAAATTGGAAACGCACACATTTCTCTATAATTTACAGAACCAAAAGAATTCTCAATAAAACCTGAATGATATACTGCAAAAAGATGAGGTATAATTTATTTCAGAACCTCCTGTAGTTCAGAAAGGTCGTTATTTGAGGTGTTATTACAGCGAGCGCAAGAGGCTGTTAGCTTCACATAGTAATACGATAATTCCAAGGCGAGATCTTCTTGTTCCGNGAGCCTCAACGTCTCACAACCCTATGGGCCTTCACTGCCTGGTACAGGGATAGCTTTACGTTTACTTTTTTTTTTTTTTTTTTACATCTTCTGATTTCGAAGTTTGTAACCTTTCATTTGCCTGATATTTTACAGCCATGCAGAGGGGAGGCTTTATGCCGTCAAGTGGCAAATTGAGGGGCTGTCAAGAAATAAGCTACCAAGTTTTATTTTACAAAATTTCCGTCTTGTTGCAGCATTTCAATAAGCCACTCGCGCTCTCGCTGTGTGTCTGTGACATGTCTTCAGGAAAAGATTTAAGTGACAGCGAATGCAACCAGTACGCAGTCAGTTCAAGGCGTCACTCTTCCTTTCTTAATTGACAAGATTAAAAATACAATTCTCAATTAATATTTGAGGGGTGTGGCTAAGGGGTTCTGCGTACAAGACTGGCATGGATGGCCGTTCACTGCACATAAACAGTCTCCTAGTACAAGGCTGCACAGCCAACGCGCCAAACTCTGAACTCAATTCTTCTGTTTCGTTAAAACGTGACATATATAAACATATTTGTATCTGCTGCAGCGGGAAAGTGTTCATCGAGCCGTTGCGTAGCAACAATAAGGGTATATAAACAGCAACGTGATCTAAAATATACTTTTCAGACTATTTTCCTTTTCTGAAAAAAAAAATTAAAGGAGGCTTATGAGATCAAAACGCTGTCTGTGTCAGTGTATCGCACCTAACCTCAACCAATCTTTATAAGTACATCATCGCACCTAAGCCCATCACTATGGCGTGCTTCATAAATCCCTCCCATCACACTCTGTATATGCTAGGAAACGACTCGGTAGTTTTCTTCCTCCCCAGTACGAAATTTCATCGGAATCTGCGCACGATTTACAGTCCACTCCCGAATCACCACTTACCTGTTCATATTTCTCCAGTTCCTGGTGATAAATCTGGCGGATTTGCGCCAGCTTGGCACGGTAGTCGGAGTGCTCGATGGCATTATCTGGCTGTCCGGGGCCCCCAGAGGCGGCTGCCGAGGCGCTGGCTGCTGCCCCCGCTCCGCCGCCCTTCTCTGGGCCCGCCACCCCCTCGGCTATCAGCATGTTGTCTAGGCGCATGAGCTGAGGGTCGGGGGGTTCCTCCTCCTGTGTGTTCCGCAGGCTCAGCACTGCAACAGCAGAAGCAGGTCCTGTCAGGGCTGGAAGGATGTTCAGGCTGCGGGTACAGCCGTCAAGAGATGGTCTTCCGCCGCAAAAGAAAATTGTGACGAGATGTTACACAGCGATTCGGATTTGGGCTCTCTGAAACGATCTAACCAAAGAAAAATAAACACGAGATTTATGAATTAGTGCGGACTGGATTCATCTGGCTTAGGATAGGGACAAGTGGTGGGCTCTTGTCAACACGGTAATGAAACAGAGAATTACTGGGGTTTTGGACCAATGATTGAGATTAGCTCTTTCTAAGGGGCCCAACTGAGTACGTGTCTTCCTTTCTCACCTGAAAACGGAAACAGTTCCAGTTTCCGAAACGTCGTGTCCACTATTACCTAAAATTCCGGACGATGGAAAAAGTTAAAAACCCCAGCAATTCTGTGTGTCATCCACCATCGTCAGAACCCTTTAGAATCTACGGTAATGAAAGTTCGGGTCACATAAAACATTGCGAAATTCTTGAGTAGCTGAGCAACTGGCGGGTTCTCAAGAAGGACTCGCAGTTAGTTAATCAGTCATGAGGGGAGGAGAATAGTAGATAGAGTAGGAAAAGGAGGGGATGATAAAAATAAGAAGAGGGGTAAAGACAGAGGGGAAGCTGAAAGAAAAATGAACAGCAACGAAAGAAGATTGAGAAACAAGCGCGAAACAATGAAGACGAAGAGAGGGTTTCCTCATGACACCCTGCACCTCAGAGGGATATACACACTTCACTCGAGCTGTACAAAAAGCAGATGCATGATCGGGGCAGCCGGGAGTGAACAAGCGGCACGCCCAATTCACAATGAGTCAAGGGGTATAGCGAACTAGGTTATGTGCATTCCAATTGGAGGTTATAACGATCTTAATTCTGCTACAGGAGGTACAATTGTTTGTGTTCAACGAATTACATGCAAACAGACCTGTACAAGTGAGCCGTGACAGTATTCTGGATGTCCTGGGCTCGATACTCGGCCCAGAGACAAGCGATTCTGAGATCTCAATTTTGTTGAGTAGCGACATGCCAGTCTGGGACATTGCTTTAAATATGGACACTTCTTCTCTTCACGTCTTTGATCAGTCAGTGAATCCCAGAAGCTGAACCTTTTCTGGCCCAGATAATGGGTAATGTAACCCTTATAATATTACTTGGGTGGGGGGGGGGCTTACAGATATGTGAGCCATATGATAAAATGAAGTGTAGCTTTGTGAACTAAGCACTGGGCAATGCTGTCATAACTGTCCGTTGTCATGACTTTACTAAAGGCGCTCCCTTGGTCAGGAACTCTTACATTTCATTTTAGGATACAACAAGATTCCGAAACGTCGTGCCCCTTCACTGAAAGACACAACTGGCAATATAACATCGCTTGTGATGGCCAACAACTCAATGCATTGACACGTTTTAATCTTATCTTAATACAAATCTAGCCTCCGAAACGTCCTCTATTATGGAGAAAATTGACAGCAATTCTTGAAATATCACTTGTGGTAACGGCTACATATCTGTAACGTATCTCATCGAAAAGACAAGCTTTGAATTTAACTTAACACACGATTTTTCTCTTCCAGCCGCACTGTGACCCTGGGGTCGACTTGGCCTCTAACAGAAATAAGTACCAGGCCAGCCAGCGCGTAAGGCTGAGAACCTCACCGCCATCTGTGAGCCGACTGTCTAGAAAATGTGGGAGCCTCGTCAACATACAACCCTATGGGCCTTCATGGCTTGTTACAGGGATAACTATACCTTTGCACCTTACATACTTGCATGTAGCCTCAGAAATGTGGTTATGTATTTTGAACGACATAAGTGACAATAATTCTTACAACTTTCCTTGCGATAATGATTAGCCATACTGTACGTATGGGTATAATTTAAGTTCACCTGACTAAAGATGCAACACCCGAAACGTCGGGCGTCTTTCAATTCAGACAATGTCCAAGAAAATTTAACCCTCTAAGAATCGGGTAAGCGTCGAGGCATACGTAACCTGTCGAGACGCATTCGCGCTTGGCCCCTAGGTGTGCCAAGCGCGGGCGAGTTCTGAAAGAATTATGAACGAGCGCCACTCGAGGGCTGGCCGGCCTTAAACGCTTGGAATCCTCTGCTCAAGCTGGCTTCCTACAGAAGAGAGCGCTGCTCGTAAAAATTACTGATATGAAAACGCAGGAGCAAGAGAGCGCCAGTCCGGGGTGCGAGATTTATGTTCTGGTACGGTCAAGATGGCCCGGTTGGCCAGCATGACGGAGGAAGGGGGTCACGTCGCGACGCTGTTTTAGTCATGCGTCGCTACGTTAACTGGCCGCACACTGAAAAGAAGAAAAAACATTACCCAGCGTTGCTTTTAAACTGCCAGTACAGTAAGTGCCAAATATATGTTCAGGATTCACAGGGTTGTGGAACTGTTCAGTTCTGATGATGTACACTGTTTCCATCCTCAGGTGGAAGGGTGGAGAAGCACGAACTCGGTGTGGTCAGGTACAGCCTTACCCGTAATTGTGTCAAGGGCTATTTGATGACTATGTATCAACTTAGATAATTATAATAAGCCTATCTGGAGAGAGCGATTTAAAATTTCAAACCTTTTTAAGTATAACGGTTAGTATATATACCATATGATTTAAGATGGTAAAGCCTTGAAGGTGTGCCCACAAAAATGAGCTTGTCTGTTCCGAACTCTTAACACAATAAACAGCGATTGCTTCTCTAAACAGCCTTAATGAGACCGGACTTGGTAACTGAGGAAGAATGTTTTCTGTCATATAGGAACTGAATTTTTAAACATTCTCACGTGATGTGTGGCTATAGAAGGGCTCTCGATTGGTAATCGGATTCATTGAACGCGTGACCACATTTTACAAATCACTATCACACACAGAGCAGTGTTCTCAGTCACGTTCTTCACTGTGTTGCTTGGTAGCGGCCTCCAACAATGTGGCGTTCCTGTCCTCGCTGGCTGGCGCCTTTCCGCTGCAGCTCCCCAGATGAACTAACTGGCTCCCAACTGCCGAACTAATTCAGAGTCAGTTACTTTACCGCCAATCAGTTCGACTTGGCGACAAGCCCCTTGAGACCCACGACCAGTACTTTTTTTTCAAACTGAACCCATGCTATTATAGTCCTTATGTAACATTCTCTCTGACGAGAGGGCGGGTCTGTCGTTTACAACCGCTGTTGGTCATCGCCAGCGCAATCATTCTCGGGTCTGAGTCCCGCGGGACTCATAACCACATTTTACTGTCTCCGATTCGAGACTTCCCCAACCTGGAGGGCCAGGTCCCCATTTATGTCCCCCAGGAACAGAGTGGCTAAATTATACCCCCCGGCACTGGTTTCCCTTTTCGTCGCATCCTATGACTAGCGGTGCTACGGTGGAGGTATTCGACGCCGCCTCCATACGGAAGACTAATTCACAACGCACATTCGACTCCTTAAGAAGCCTGGGCAAGAACCGCATAGAAAACAACTCTCCCCATTAGTCCTACTATTGCATCACGTAGCTATATAAAGGACCGCATAGAGAACACTACTTCTCATTATTGTTGTATCCTGGTGCAGTGGGATTGTTATGTTCGTGTCTGTTGGCGAAGCCGTTACTTAGCAACGGGTCCACAAGCCACAATATTATTTGGACGAAATTCATGCTTCCAATGAGTAAAAGAAGTTTAAACTTTTCGAGGGCGACTTAGTTTCATGAGGATGGATTTTTGTGTAACTGTCGAGGAAACCAGATCAAATCAAACTGACTCCAGGGAGAAAAGTCTTCTTCTTCTTCTTCCTCCTCCTCCGACACGTCAATGTTTAAATATCAGCTTCACTTATGATTCTTCCTATCCCTTCCTGAATCTTCTCGTATCACATTCGTCGTGCATGCTGTAAGCAACAGTCTGTTCAGGTTCCTGGGTTCCGCTCATTCTTCGGACACGTTCCTTCCATGTCGTTTTCCTTTTGGTTGGCTGAGAAAATTCCCATATCTCACCGGGTGGAATGATAGAGACTGGTTCTTTCTGGCAGACCTAAGTGTGTGTGCTTTCCCGTCTCTTTACCTGAAGATAGAAACAGATCCACTTTTCGAAGTGTTATATTCCTTAATAATAGACGCTACTAGACGACGGGGAAAGTTAAGAACCTCAGCACTTCCAAGGGGGTCATCAGAACACTGTACCCAGTTCCTCTCACAGAGTTTCGTATTCTTAACCCATACTAATATCAGTTGCCGATCATAGCGGTCGCGGGGTCTAAGGCATGAACTGTCTTCGTTCGCTCTAATGCTGGAATCGTGTGTTTGAATCCCACTCCAACCACTGACCTCTGTGTGTGCGTTTATTCTGTTTGTATCGTTCTGTGTATATGCAGCGGCCTAGCGACGGGCTGATCCCCCGTCCAAGGAGTCCTACCGACTGCGTATTGGATTAAGAAACTGAAAACACGGTCAAGCTCTAACAAAGAACTGTAGACCCACAGATTAGGATTAGATAATCAGATAGATTAATTTCAGTTTCAACTGAACCACAATACAAGCCGTATCTTCACAGTTAGCAGAGCAACTTGTGCGCCAGTCTTTCCTTAAAACGTGTCTCCTGTGTCTTGCTGGCAGCAGGGGATGTTGAGAGCCCTTTCCTTATTTTTGACGTGTTGTATTAACTGCTTTAATAAGGCGAAGCGAATATATGAATAAAGAGTAGCTGGAGAAAATTAAAAGAGAGAGGCAAATAAGAGGAACGTAACTCAATTAGGTCTTTCTTCTCGAATGCACTTCTTTATTTTCCCCCCACCGTATAATTTCAGGATAAAAAGGTGTTCAGAAGGCATTTGCCAAATACTTGAGACCGAACGTGAACAAACAACTTAATTGATAATAATATGAAAGGACAGAATTAAATTACAGTGTTCAGGAAACTGCGTCTACATTGTTATCAGCGTCTTTGTCACTTTTCGTTAAATCATTAAATAAGAAATAACAGGAGGAAGGTG